TATATATATATGTTGCAATTGGATCTTGGCTGCAGAGCACATTGGTAATTGAAAACAAAAAAGGATTTGTAAATCAATGTAGGAATTTGTAAATACGATTTGGACTTGGCAACTATACTTTGTGATAATTCAGCTTAACAACTACACACACTTATCATTCATATCATCTAATCCAATATGTATATGTATATGTAGATTAAAATGTATGTATGCATGTATGTACGTCTGCTTACCCATAGATATGAGTTTTCTTTGTAAACGTTTGACATTTATCAATTTTATAGATATCATTCATATAGCCAAATTTTACTTCACAGATTATGTTCTGATACATGAGAAATTATTCAAGAAATAAATTCTCATACTACTACCCACACTGCAGCCCAAGTGCAGTCGCTACTTACTGCGCAGTTAGCAGTAAGTAGCGACTGCTATTGCAGTTACTTTTATGTTCGTGGTCGCCATATAGATGACCATATAAAAGTATAAGCTTAAAATTATATCTTCAACCTATTATAAACCGGGAGTCTAGATACAACTTTTCTCCCGTCCCTAAAATCTCGAACCAGAATCGACGCATATGTTTGCAAAAATTTACATATTTCATAGGATATTTAACACAAAAGCAAAAATTTGTTAAATTCGGAGCATGTTATTTTTCCTTAAATTTGGACCCGGCTCTTCATATATATATGAAAAATATATAGATATAAAAATAGAGAAAAAAGAAACGTGTTTCATTTGAATGACTAATTTAATAATCTATAGTAGATTTCAAAAGAGTTATAATTAAAAATGTATGTACAATTTATTAATTTATTTATATTTATACTCATATACCTTTATATATTTTTCAGTATTACTTTTAACTAGCTTTGTGAACAATAATTGTTTATTGCCTCCTTTTTATATTTAACTAATAAAGTAAATTCAAGGCAAGGCATAAGTATTTTGACAAATTTTTTGAGTATGAATTTTGAGCAGTTGGCCGCCGAACCACTTTTGTATTCATTTTACAAGAGACCAAAACAAGCCGCACTTCAAATTAACTCAAGCTTAAAGAGGCGCACAAGCAAAAGAAGTTCTGGTGAAGCGTTTTCTGGCCGGAGAAAAGCTAATATGAGTGCTACCCATGTATTGTTTTTTGTAATAAATCACAAAGCCACATTCTTAAAGAGGTATGAGGCGTCATGTATTATACGACATATGCCTTGATGTCTTTATTTTTGTTTAGTTCAAGTATTATATTCTTATATATTGAAAATTTTGAAGTTTCTATTAATTGTGTGTGAAATGAAAAATAAACAGGAATTCTTCATAAAGCCATTTAAAAGTTAATTTACATTTATTATCGTATAATATTCTTCATTAAGAGAATAGCTTTTTGTTGTAATAGAAATTGATTGCGTAGAATTAAAATCATTAGTGATTCTTTTAGTTTCGAAACTCTAAATTAAAGAAATAGCGATGAAGCTTATGCTTCAACATTTTTTTGATTCTTTGCTTATTTCGTATTAATCATAGTGCTGATGTCTCCCTTTAATTGAATGCCTTAACTACCTTAAATTTGCTCTCCAACTAAAAAACTTGACTTCACGCTCAACTGAATTGAACTCACCTTAATATGAATGTCTTAAATTCTGCTAAAACAAACTTAATATATTCTTTCCTAGGCAACAATATGAAAAAGTGTCGAGCACGCTTTGGACTGGATCAGCAGAATCAGTGGTGCAAGCCCTGCAGGTACGTTGAAAACAGATGATTTTGTAAATTGACAGCTTGCTAAATCCACATTACATTACGGCGTTTATCAATCAGGGATTCGCCAACTCTCTTTACAAGATTGCAATTAGTCGTCCATAAAAACGGGAACGAATCAATCAGTGCTGCCAAATTAGCTTTATTCCATTCACACCCATCAATTTTAAATTCTTTTTTTTTTTCTCTCTCTCTCTCATTTCTTTTTGTAAGGATCCTATTCGAATTCAGAATATCAATATTTGTTATTTGAATTGATTAGAAAGCGATTGTTCTAGGACAATATTAAATTCGAAAATTGGGATCTGTATTTGCATGCTATATTCTTAGAATGTTTCATATATTAGTTTCGCGTAGATTACGTATGTATAATTCAGTGTGGATCTAAAATTTTAAGAGTTATGTAGACATTCGTACATAGGTATATGCATATTTGAGTTGTGGCTTCGTATAGCTGGTTCTCAATAAATCAATTAATCAAAAGACATTTGATGATCATCTGGAATTTTATTTCCTCAAGTAATCAGTTATATANAAAAATCAAAGTGTAATTAAAATTTTTTTGGATAACCCCGAAGAATAAGGATCAAGAACGTACTGGGTGAAAACCGTTACTAATTGCGCATGATAAACGCAAAATTATTAAGAAAGCCAGCAACAGCTCAACCGATTGTACAGCTTTAGCCGCACATGTGGCCGAATCTGTGTCAGCGATGACTGTTTGGCTAATACTTAGGAGCTCAGGAATAAATAGGTCTAAACTGACCAAAGCATCCATGTTGCTAAGTCGCCACAAGGTTGCTCGACTTGATTTTGGCTTACAGTATATTTATAAATGTTTACCCTAACAGGTCATATTTTCTGATGAGAAGAAGTTTAACCTGGATGGTTCTGATGGATTTGATTCTTATTAGCATGATTTGAGGAAGGATCCTATGTTTTTTTCAAGGACAGATTTTAGAGGTGGCTCCGTCATGATTTGGGGAACACTTTGTTCATTTGTTACCTTGGAATATAAGTTTGTATCGAGCCGAATCAACAGTGAAGAGTATATTCAGGCTCTGGATAGTAGTCTCATTCCATATTTAAGGGAATTACGTGAGAAACCAATGGTTTTCCAACAGGATAATGCCAGAATCCATGTGACCAGACGTACAAAGGAGTGTCTGGAGGAATGTCATGTTGATGTGCTTGACTGGCCAGCAGCCAGCAACCCGATAGAAAATGTCTGGGGTAATCTTGCAGACGTGCCAAAAATCGTCAATTGGAGACAGTTTGCTATCTTAAAACGCAAATTCTAAATGAATAACAAAGTTTCGAAAAGGACCTTTTATTAAATTTAGTGGTTTCAATAAGGATGAGAATTTTTGAGTTAACTAAGGCAAATGGAGGCCGGACTAAGTATTGACATTAGTTTTTCCATCAATCCGCAAAGAATTCGGATTTTTTTAAACCAAAATATGAATATGGGCTATAATTTGATATAGCAAATGGTGCTGTTTTCTTTGTTTTTTTACTTCTTTTTAAGAAATCGTTATTAAATCGTTAATTTTAAATAAAAAGTTATTTGCCATTCATAATTGAAATATTGAACTACTAATTTTTTAAGATATTGAGGAAATATGCCATTTGGGAAAAATTTTCAGCCGATTCGTTTAAGTGGATTAAAAGTGGGCTATAATTATGATAAGCACTGTATAAGCTATCTCACGATATTCAACATTCACATACGAGCATAAACACCTAAACACACATACATATTATTGTATGAGATTGCGACTCTTGTTAGTACGTTATACTAATATTGACCTTAAAGTAAAATAAGGATGATCCGAATTATATGAAATGTATTTGCATGCAAATTATTGCTCTACATTGACTTGCCTGCACCTGGCTCATATGCTAAAGATATTTTTATTTATCCATTTAGATATTGACCAACTAGAAATAGGCAGATCCTTCAGTCTATCAGCACTTACCTGAGACAGTTTGCGGAATCAGAAAATCGTTAAAAACTAAAAACGAAGGAGAGAGGCAGAAAGAGATATTCTAAGAGATATACAAATAGACATGCTAAGAATTATATATATGAATATACTGTGATACTGTGATATACTTACTCAGTTTGCAGAGTAATTTGATATATTGTTTCCCTTAATTTGATTAGGAGAAGGCGGTGTGGCAGCAATGCAATGTTCGTACTTCTGTATGTATTGTATATATGTGCTGTTTATATAATTTTGTTTTGTTATATTTTTATACAATTATGGATACCGACTTTAAATTTCAAATTTAAGTTCAAAGCTTTACTTTTCACTAAATACAGATGAAAAAAATACTATACAATACGTATTTGTGTCAAATGTTTTGAAATCCGTTTAACACAGGATATGTTAAAAAAAAAACCTCAGTTGGCCACGTACCAAGCAGCTCCTATTTCACATTTACGTGTGCGTATATTTAAACAAAGTATATATTTATTTCGGTGACACCGCCAGTACAAGTGTATAACGAAAAAGGATAAAAAAAAAAGATACAAGAAAACTCTTCAGTCTACGCACCGAGTTCCATGTACACACATGCGTTAAGAAAGCGCTTGCATGCTGGAATTGGTTGTATGTGCATACACGTCCACCTGCGTGTGCTGATTGGCCAATCAATTTGCATATTAATTCGGCAGTTTCTGTAATTTAAACATACTTTCAGCACGGAATTTACATATTCTATTCAGTAGTTTTCTTTTTTGACAAAATCAACTCATTCTCGATTAGGTATATTTTTTGTATCTGACCTTCAAATAATAATTTGATAAAATTTGGGGCGGTATCCAAAATATAAAAATATGTACAAGAAATACACATTGTATAATATATATAAGTAAGATGAAAGAGGTACATTATCATAATTGATTTCTGAGGTTTTTAGATGACATTAACCATTTTATCAACCAAACTCCGACTATGTAAAGGGCTAAAAAAAAATCAAGTCTACCTTTTATTAGTCTTGAAATCGATACTTTTAACTATGGGCAGATAGTTCGACTGTTATCATTTCCCATTTTCAATAGATTATTATTATGAAAAGCAAATTTGTTTGAGGTGAAAATCGATTCCCTTAGCATGTCCGTCCGATCGATTTCCAAGGGCGTCGCATTTTAGATACTAGCACTGCCATCTGCTCTTTTACTTTATATTAATATAAATATACATATTACAAACGACTTATCAGATATTATTATTATTAATACTATTAATTACCTTGCCTTTTTTTTTAATTTGAAGCTTATGCAAGTTCGAAAATTCATTTTTGTTTGTTTATTAATTATTATTATTTTTTCTTGCAAAACATAAAACAACAAAGAACGAGAACAATGAGAAAATACAATACAATTAAAATAGCGTATCCTTTAAGTTTGAATACTTTCAAAGGCTATGGTCCTAGAAGTTTTTTCTTTTAGACTATTCTATTGGTTTTGTTATTATTTTTAATCGATATACAATTTTTAAATGGATGTCTTTAAAAGCTATTAAAACTGATTGCTACAAATTTGGTTTCAAAGCGCAATCGAATTCAATTGAAAATTTGTATCTCTCAACTGATTTTGGATGTCATAAAATTGATCATTGAGAGGGAAATAACAGAAATAACAGAAAGATATATATCTTTGGAAGAAATCAAAGATGAACCTTTATTCCTTGAGAATTACGAATGCTGCTGGAAAACTTGATTCAAATAATAAAATAAACAAACAATAATATGATTTACTTGTATGGTTTAGTTTGTATGCGTAATAAAAGTAAATGTTGTGAAACATTAACTTATTTTTGCTGGCTACTATATATAGTGGTCGGCGTAAGTTCAATTCGTATACGTCACGCACATTCGAAATTTGATGAATTTCATATCATGTGCCGAAAGCATTCCAAGCATGTTGAAAAAATATTATAGTTTGTTTAGAAAAATGTAAATCAAATAGTTTTCTTCATTATTTCTTTTGATTGATATCAGTTTGAACTATTCTGAATTCTACTCAAAATTTCGCTTTAAGCATAGCAGCCTGATCCCTTGGGCGACGCGTCTCTGTTGACAAAGGGCGTTAGTTATTCAGCAAATGGGTCTATTGTTTCTGATAAACTATTTTAAATCAGAAAAGCCTACAAAAGAAGTCTCTTGGGCTCAATAAAGAAACTCTCCCCTGTTTGCAGGTCTATCCCCAGTGATCGAGTAGAATGTAATAGCTTTAATTTTTGAATTTTTGTTTAAAGTGGCATTACTAAACAATTTTCAAACGCACACAAACACACATACACAAATCACACAACTATATATGTATATATATMTAAAGATAGAGATTTTGGAATTTTGAATGGTGTTTAAAAAAATATTTTACGAAATACAATTATCGTTCTTTTCCAATATTCAAATTGCTTGGATCACTTATATACATATATAAATCAGTCCCAACGTCGGGTTGGGGATCAACAGCAGCGTGGGCGTCGGCCTTGTCAGTAGTGGGCCAGGCGTGAATAGCATAAGTGTCGGCATGCTGACGCCGGCCATGGTAGGTGCGACAACAGTTATGCTGCCCAACTCGTCATCGAGTTCATCATCCTCGTCGACGTCGTCCTCCCACACACACCTGCAAATGATGTCTAATAGCAATGGAAATAATGGAACCGTGACATCTATGAATGGGTCAGCAGGTGGTTCAGGTGGTCAAGGTGGTGGTGCTGGTGCTGGTGGTGCGAATGGCACTTCCTCAAGTACTCAACAGCTTTCACCTCAGGCACCGCCAACCTATGTTAATTTGTAAATAAACTAACCCACGCAACACATCCACCGGAACAACATCGAACATATAAATGTGCACGGCAGTCCGAGTAAAACAGAGGCAGGTTTACGACTACGACTCTGCTAAAATGCCAGTAAATAAACAGTATATATCTTTGTACATATATAAATTAACAGAATGCAAATTGGCGTTAACTAATTTTACAAATTAAATATATATTTGAATTATGTATAACTATATATAGAATATATAGATGTTTCCATTTTGTTTTGCTAGAGCTGTGTGTTGCTATTGTTGTTGTTGTCGTTGTTGCTGCTGTTGTTGTTGTTGTTGATGATGATGATGTTGTTGGTGTTGCAATGCTGTAATACTTTTTTCATTATCATTGTTGTTATTTGTTGTGAATATACTCCGTTTCGCTAAGATTTTCTTATTATTTTTTTTAATGTCAGTTAATTCGATTGCAATGTTTTTTGCTCGATTTTTTCTTTTGGTTGCTTTTTTCATATTTTTTGTATTGTCGTTGCTTTCCTTATATGAAAGTGGAATTTTCGTACTATACTTTTTTTTTTTATTTACACAAGATTTACCATTATATTTTAAATGAAGCCTGGATGATAACGCTTGTTTTATAAGGAAACGCATTTGACTTCAAATTATGTTCCAGTTAATAAGGTGGTCTTAAAACATTTTACAGACAAGTTCTTAGTTTTGATTCTACACTAGAATACCTTTATGTATGACCAATACGTATACACATTGCAACATATTAATAATGTGGAATACAAATAATGTACAAGTATTCATGAAATACAAATTGAATAATTCCTTTTTAAGTCGCAATTACCCTTTTATGTCTGCATGCAGTAAACGCGCATAATATGCTTGTAATTGCTTTAACGTGATGTCAATTTTGAATTGAATTACTAAAAGAAGTTTATTTTGCAGTGTTTATAGATATAGATATTACATATAAAAATCAAATAATATACATTCAATACAAACGGTAATGTTTTATGTAAATAAAAAAATTAGCTTTAATATAATTTTGTGCGCTCCCTTAAGTACATAAAGCATTATTTTTATCGGTTTCATTCCTGCGAAATGCTAAGAATTAATTTTTTCTGTATGTATTTTCATTTGTCCAAATAAAAATCTTAAAATTATAACTTCTAATATAATATCAAATCTCAAAGGATCAAATACAAAGTGAAATATTCTATAAATAATAAAAATATAAAGCAATAATACTATGTTAAGCAATAAAAGTGAAATAATATTATGAATGCTTATTGAAGTATTTTAATTATTCACTTCAATATTATAACAGCATATTATTATTATTGTATTATCAGCTTCAATATTGCTTAATTAAAAAAAAAAAGGTAGCGATAACATAAATGATTTATAGAAAATGATCAATTAAAAATGTAATGCATAATGCATAAGAAACATGTATTTAAATTAAATTTCAAATTGAATGAAAAATTTCAGTGAAAATCGATTTGATTTCAATTTAATTCATTTGAACGAA